AGTACATCTGGCCAGGATGCAGTCTTCACTCTGAGGCTCTCTCTCTTAGGTATTTCAGCATCCTAGAGGTGGTATGCCGAACGCCCACACCCCACTCCAGCGGGTGGATAAGATGGGCTGGTGGTGTGCCCTCTGTCGATGGTGTCCATAGGGACCCTTTCGAGGGGATGGGGACCCCTCTCGGGGAGGAGGACGAGGAGGGATGGGGAGGCAGAGCAGGATCTGGGCGGAGGGCAGGGAGGAAGGCCCTTTGTTACTCTCAAGTCTGCTTTTGTATTCTCCTTCCCTTCTGAAGGCTCTTGATGACTTCATCTGTGGCTATCGCTGGTTGGTCTCTGTGTGGCTGTCATACATCCACGTAAGCTCATCACATGCATACATACTAATTTGGTCTTTCCAGGCCTTCTCCTAATTTGTCTGTTCCCCAAAAACCAGGACTCAGGCCCCCCCACTCTGGGGCCTTGTTAGCTGGTGCCGCCCTTATCTCATGTTATGGAACAGTATGGTACATGCCCCCAGTTTCGCAGGCTGTGTATATCTGTTGGCCTTGTTAGGTTAGACAACCTGGCTGCTTCGAAGGCTGTGTGAAACTGTGCATGTGAGACCCAAGCTTTTTAGAAATCAATTAACCTCTGCTGCCCATCCTAAACCATTCTAATGCATATACATATACCTATAAGCCAATTCCTAAAAACAAACCTTTAAATACCATTTCTAAGCCAACACACAGTACAACAAACCTTACTGCATAAAGTAATTAGCAGCTCTGTAAGCATGAGTGTTTCCAAACACTGCATAGGTGTTTTGAAAGGTCAGGATTTGAAGTGACAACCCCAAACCAAGCTGCACCCTTAGCAGCTGAATACCTGGCAGCTCCCAGGAGTTGGCGCCCCATCTTTCAAAGCACCCTCCAGAGATTTGCAGCAGCTCACACAATAAGTCAATGGCAAGCCAGAAATAAAAACCCAGAAGCTCCTGCGTACTAACCCTATTATTAGTCGCACTTACGGCACAGCTTTGCAAGGTGAGAAAAGTAGTTCTAAAGCATCTTTACTTTCTCTCTTTGTTTAGTAGAGTCAAATAATTTAAATAAAGATCTCTGCTGCTGGGAACACACACAAACCTTTTGTCTCTGTCTACACAAACCCAGCAATCTTCTCACATGTTTCTACTTCTTATTTAGAAGATATAGAGTACAAGCAAGTGCCTGAAGCTGGAGGGGTGCAGGGCTTCCTTTTCTGAGGGAGTGCTCCAGGGACAAGACAGACCTCAGGAAGCCCAGCAAAACTGGGCACCCCTCATACAGACAGCAGCGTGGATGTGCATGTGTGCAGTCGTGAGAAGTTAAACAGAAGTGAAAAGAAGGGGTTATATAAAGGCAAAGAACTTTATGAATACATTTTTCCACCACTCACTCTGCATTCCTCAGTGGTTCAAACATCCAGAAGGCCCCAACTGACAAGTGAAAAGCTGATAATTTCATCCCAAAGCAGACAGATGCAGTCTATGGCACCTTACCTTCTGGGGTACGACAGAGGACAATGGAATTATCCAGGAGAAAAAAAATCTACTTGCGTCTTTGCTTTTGTTGGTTGAACAGCTTTTGCTCAGCTAATGAACAGAGCAAGGTGACGGGTGTGTCTGATGTGCAAACTGCTTAAGGAAAGGCTCAGCCAGTAAAATACATGGGCTACACCAACTAACATGCCATGCGTTACCTGAATACTAGTCATATATGCAACCTAAGAGTACCTCTTTTGCTGCCCAATCATATGAACAGTTATTTACTATGTTTTAGCAATCCATGTAGGGTCTATTGTATTGGGCCAGGGTTGGCCAACCTGTAGTGCATATGCCACAAGTAGCGCAGGGAGCATGTGTGTGACACATGGCAAATCAGAGTGGGAGCAGGGAGAACAGGGGCTGAAATGACAAGGATTAAAAAGCCGAGCACCACTGGGGCAGGGAAAAGGGATTGGAATGGCAGGGCTTAGCTTGGGGTATGCCGATCTAAAAGGCTGGCCCCGCACTGCATTAGACAAAGAACACACTCACACACTCCTGGTCTCAGAGAATTTACAATATACTCAATACGCATTCAAACTTAAAGAGCTAACAATTAGCTGCATCGCATATGAATGGCTGGCTTGTGCCTCTACACACCAGAGGTCGGTATTCTGCTGTCTCACATCAGGGCACCCTGGTGCTCAAGCCACTGCAAGCAGTTAAATAGTTCAGTTCGCTCTGAAAGACACCCCTAGCACTCCATTCCCCAGTGACAATGAGACGTGACAAATATGCTGTTTTCTATCAGCTCAAACTTCAATTAAAAATAAGTGATTTGCCAGTTAGCAGTGAGGTAAAGCCATGTTAATGGAAGACAAATGTCTGAAAAACTGAATTACGTTTACCTCAACCAGCACCTCAAACACATTAGTGCGCCAGATTGCTTGCCATCCAGATGGTTCAAGGACCTTCTCCAAGTACTCAGCTGTGAATTCTTTTACCTCAGAGGCCTTGCAGTCAGCTACAAGGAAGTTAGCAACACTTAAATTGGGTATTTATCCACAAAAAGGACAAGTAAATAATGAAACTGAGCGCAAGTTTTAATGCTCCTCTATGGATGTCCAAAGCTGCCTTCAACTTCATTCTGCTGATGCTAATTCATGTTCTCTGTCTGGAGACGTGAGAGCAGATTGCTTTGTTTCTCTGAAGGACTGAAGACCTGAAAAGGATGCTGTCTCATACCTCAACTGAGAAGAGCAGAGCACCCATTCTTTCACAACACAGCCTCCATCCTTCAGGTAGGCTGGTGGTGTTAAATGGGTGCTGAAAAAAACTATACTGTTTTAACTAGTCTTCTTAAAATGATCTTATGTTACAAGACAGTGAAACCTGAACAGTTGAAAATAAGATCATTAGTTTTCTAGTTCTCCAGCCCAAAATCTTAATTATGGCATAGTATTTTTCATGGGAGGCCATTAAAAGCCTAGGACCCGTTTACAGCTCAACTTGCTCATCAACTGATCTTTCCTTCACCTCTGATACTAAACCGGATCCTCTCTACTCGGCATGCTCTGGAGAACTAAGTTATTAAAAAGAAGGCTATATATCTATGGATATGAACTGAATCACCCGGAAAAGTCAGTCACTACAGACACTGTGACCAGGAATCTCAATAGCAACAATGTCACTCACCCAAGATGTAATCTTGATACGCTTTAAATCTCTCATAAAACAAAAGGTGATTTGTTTCGAAGGTGTCTGGGAAAAGCACATTCCCATTTGGCACAAACCTTCCTAAAACGGTGCCTAGTTTGTCATGACTCCCATAATCACTGCAGCTGTCATCCTCTTCCTGGCAGGAGCCTAAAGGGAAAAAGGCACAGTTCACTTAAGTACAATTCATTCTTTCATGCCTGTTTCAAGGAGCCAGTGTAGAATCCATTGCATGCCTCCCGATACCACACTCCCTTCTGCAGCAACATGTACACCACCCAAACAAAGCTATTCCCTAAGCACTGCATGCAGACACTAACAGCATGTTTTTAAATTAAGATCGCAAGCAGTACAGAACAAAGCAAAAATATGTATAGCTCTAAAAGCCTCTGTCAACACCACACATACTTTATATTAAAAATATTAGAAACGGTGAGTCGGCAATTCCAGGATTTTGCTGGAGGCAGCTAGGGGCCTGCATGCCATTACACTTAATATGAGGGGCAGAGTACTCAAAGAAGTCACCCTCCCTCTTCCCCCAAAAAATGTTCGTAGGCACTGACAATGAGGTAGGTGAAGACCGACAAAAAGATTTCCCTAAAGCCTCTTCCCTTCAATAGCCCAGCTATGAAGCTGCAAGGCTGATTTGTGTTCAAAACCAGCACAGTTTTGCCTACTTTCCACTGCTCTATGTCATTTCAGCAGCAATGCCCGATCCCAGATGCTACAAGAGGTCTGTGGGATGGTAGCAGGTGGCCTACCTGAACCATGGTCAAGATAAGACTACACTAAGCATGTGGGAGAAAGAGAGGGGCAGTGACTGGGCACTGGACTTGGAGCTGGGAGAGCTGGGTTGCATTCCCAAATTGGCTGCTGACCTTCCACATCACCTGGTGTAAGTCACTATCTTCATGCCTCTCCCCCCACACACTTTGTCTGTCTTGCCATTTAGATTATGTTTTATCTTGGGTTTTTACAATGCCTGGTATAACAAAGCTGATCTCATCTAGATGCTAATGTGATACCAACAGGCTCTTAGACTACAAGCAAACCAGCTGCCTCCACACACCCAAACACAGCGAGATATTCTGTGCAGACCAAACAGATCCTCATGAATTCCTGTAGCACAGATAAGCCTATAGCAGAGGCAAAATCCTTTCAAGCCTTGTTTCATAAAAGGAAGAGGGAACACAAGTTCTTACCCCATCCTTTGCAGACAGCTACCACATGAATCGTTCTGGTTCTCTCCCCAGCTAGCAAAGCTGAGTCAGTCAACCTACTTTTTGAGTAGCATACTCCATTTCTATGCCTTTGGTTTTACAGTGTTTAAACAGTGAGGCATGAAATTAACTTCGTTAACAAAAAATACTAAGCTTTGCTAAATCCCGGCAGCACCGGCCTACCGTAGAACTGGCCCGTGCAGTAGAAAGCAGGACTTTACTAGCCACAGAGCACCCAAGTCCGACTCACCTCTCAGAAAAGCAAGAGGGGCTTTTGAAACTTCCTTAAAAAAATAAATAAAAGAGAAACAAACAAAACCTCCTTCCTCCCTCTGGCAGCAGATATTTTCCTCCCAAGACAGTAAATAGCAGAGCTTTGTAAGAGTCAAGCCGAGTTGCAGGAGCACGTCAGACACTGGGCAGGGATGGTTTAGTGGGGCACGTTCCTGCCTTGAGCAGGGGGCTGGAGCAAGCGACCTCCCGAGGTCCGGTCCCTGCGACCTGACTCACCACAAGCAATTCTGAGCAACCTGATGAGCCAGATCCATGCTGTCAAGCCCGTCTGAATGGAAACCAGGCCGACTTCCTTCTGAAGAGCCTAATGCAGCTGCACTCGCTCTGAAGACACGGGCATGATCACCTGGGTTGACAAGCAGCATTGCTAGGGTACAGGGCTGTAGGCTGTAGCCGTGTTGGTCTCGGGACAGAGGCAGACAAAGTTCTCCGGGTAAGTCCGATCTCTTTTATTAGGCCAACTCAAATAGTTGGACACTTTGACTAGGGCCTGCTAGAAAGGCTTTGTGGCAGTGTATCTAAGGCAGAGGCGTCAGACACACGGCCTGAGGACCAGCTCTGGCCCTTCAGGCTGCACGACCCCACCTATGGGCCTCGGGCGGAGCCCGTCTGGATCAGTGGCAGCGCCCGCGGCTCAGGGGCTGCCCCAGGGACCCAGCCCCGCGCCCCGGCTCTCAGGCCGGTCCGGATCGCGCTGCGCCCGCACCGGCAGGCAGGG